ACAAGTCATCCATAAACTTGGATATGCTCCCAAGAATTGAGTTCATTACAATATTTTAGTTCTTATTTTAATTACTTTAAAATACATCTGTTTAGGTTATGTACACCGACTACTGGAATGTCTGGTCAAGTCCATCGAAGAAAAATCCATTGACAAGTCTCTGGTGGGAAAAGCGCCACCTCCTTTGGCATCTCAGTACAAGAGACCAAGGCTTTCTGAGATTCAGACTTTATTTCGGTTCAATAAGTGAGGAAAGGGCAATTGTCAATTGCAAGCAAAGATGACAAGCTTTGTATGTTAGCAGGACAGTACTAGGTCTGTTGGCATTACTTGGAGAAGTAAAATTTCTTTTATGGTGCTTTTGTTGGGATCAGTGCAGACAGTTGTTCACAAGCTTCCAAGTATGACAGGTTAATTTGACAGTTCTCTATACTCTCGTTTGAGACTTGTAACATTTTTAATTTTCTACGTAAGGTTACCCTGAGTCGCAACGTATTTATAGCGATATGTCAGTGATTTATTTAGATTTTGGTTTTTAGAACCGATCACTACGAGTAGGTATTTAGTCAATGAGCTAACTTCCCGTTTTCGTTTTTTTATTTTAATAAGAAAATTACGGTTTGGTTCTTTAGGCGTTCATCTATTATTGAGTAAGTTATTAATTAATAACATGCCGAGGCTATTTTGTGCAGTATATTTGCGCTAACTCCGAAACTGGCGCGTCATGCATTCCAGCAATGCGGTATGTGCTTGTTCAGTTTCTAAATTTACCGACTGTAATACATTTTTGCGCTTTCAGGTTACCAAGACTGAAGCCTGGGATGATGCCCACTATCCGCCCGCATAAGAGAATTGTTCAAGTCGGGGGAAGAGGCAGACGAAAGCCTGCACTTACCTGTGAAAAAACCAACAGGGAAAAGACTGTCCAAAAACTCCAGGTTGCAAGGGTATGCCTTGATGTCACTACGTTTTTCATTGGATTAAAATATTAATCTTTTTATCATGTATCAAGAAGTAATATGATTAGGCTAGGATTATTACTCTGTTATGCAATGATTAATGTTTAGCCCATGGCAAGTAATAGCATTTTAACAGAAAAAATGTCCCCTTTTTGTAATGCACCTTGAAAGCAAATATAGTTTTATTTTTTACATTTGCTTTGTTCATTTCTGATATTAAATAGCTCAGTTTCTTTGCAGCTGAAAAAAAAACTTGTGAAGGACAGACCAAAAGCCACTGCTTCAGAAGCCAGCACCGGGGAGGCAGATTCTTTTGAATTCCCAGAGCCATTGATAGAGGTCTTTGGCCAGCGTCAGTCTATTTCAACTGCCTCACAGACAGACTTAACAAGTAAATATATTCTGCTTATATGCCACTTACATATCTTTGTTATAAGTGATAATTAGATACTATTTATAGAAATATAATCCTGCTAAATAAGATTGTCACGAATTTGGGGGGTATATTTCATAAACCAATCCCTTACTTCTCATGTTTATATTTCAGTGCTAGAAATAGAGAAAATGTCAGAGAAAATGGATGAACCTCAGAATATTGCAGGTGATAATAGTGCAACAGTGGAAGAAACAGGTTAGTGTACATGGGTCAGTCCCCCCCCCCCCCCTAAAAAAAAAAAAAAGAAAAAAATTAGAAAAAATGGCAGGTGCTAATGCAAATTGTTCAGCAGTAATAGCAATATCCATTCTCTCACTCTTTTTTTATATCAATTTTACTATCTTTTTATACTTCTTTTCTCTATAGATCAAAGAAGTCGAGATGAAAATCTTTTATCTTCATCAGCATCATCTGACAGTGAATCTGATGATTATTATATGCCATCAGAAAGTAGTGATGACAGCTCACCACAACAGTAAGTAATGAATACTTCCAGGGCATTTTTTTTCTTTCTTAAGTGGTAGTAATTTATAAAATGTGGAAATAGTAATAGAATACATTTTCACTATATTTATTTTGATATTTTTGTACCAGGAAACCAAAGAAGTTGAAGGAAATCCTGGATTCTGAGGCAAAAGTGATAGTGTATAAAAGCCTCTTGCTTCAGCTTCTTGCAATCTGCCAGCTTTGTCAAAGAGATGCAGTTCCCACCATCATAAAGCAGATTGGCACTATGATTGTAGTGAGGCAGTCCTGCACCTCAAAGAAGTGCCGAGGTGCAACCTGGTACTCACAGCCTTTCATAGGAAACATGCCAGCTGGAAACCTCTACTTGTCATCAGCCATTCTATATTCTGGCAGCACTGTGAACCAGGTGCTAAGAATGTTCCAGTTCATGAGTCTTCAAGCTTAAAGTCCTTCAACATTCTATGATCACCAAAAAAAAAAAAAAAAAAAAAAAAATTTACATGGTGCTGTAAGAACGTTGTTGGATTGTAAGCAGGCTGCATTGTTAGAAGGGGCATCAGATGATCTTCTCTTGGGTGGGGATGCCAGATGTGACAGTATGGGGCACACAGCCAAGTATGGTACATATAGTTTTTTGGACATAGAGCGTAACAAAATCATTGCAATGGAAATGATCCAGGTATACCCTTTGTTATTCATTGGTAAAGTTAATTATTTTCTGCCTATCACATTTATTAAAGGAATTTATTTTTTTAATGAATTCTTGAGATAGCAGGGACAGCAATAACTTGCACAATTCTATTCTGTTAGAAAATTAGAATTCCAATTGCAATGAAACAAGTTTCTTTGTTAAATGGACAAGAACTAGTGAAAACTGTTTACTCACTGAAATACTGGGAAGTAGTAATATGCCATTAAGTTTTATTTCTTTATTTTTCCTTTTATAAGAAAAACGAGGTTGCCAGTTCCTATCATATGGAACACGGAGGACTGAGGTGTAGAACTAAATCTTTATCTGTTAAACAGCCAGTAAGCTTAATGCTGGTTCGAGGGGAGAACAAAATAGCAAGAAAGGAGAGATGATTGCCTTGGCATGGAAGGACAAGAAGGTCATACATTTCCTTTCTACTGCAGAAGATCCAGCATCTGCAATTGGCTTCACAAACACTCCAGAAAACTGGAGAAATTATAAATGCCATACTTTTTTTGTAATCTGGTGCTTACCTTTTAATTAAATTTTGTGCATTTTTCGTTCAGTCTATTTTTTATTCTTGAAATAATCTGAACAAGTATTACAATGTATATTTTATATATTATTAAACAGTTTTTGTACTTATATTCAGTGTTCATTTTATATAGATCAAACAATTCTGACCTTATCTTCCTCATTCAATAAATAACAATATCCTCAATATGTCCATATATAAAGAATTTCATTTTATGCAAGTTTTATGCATTTAAAAGCCTGAAAATTTGGAACCAAGAAAATAACAGACCTTGAGGTCCTGCTAGGACACATGGTTAGCAATGCTTATACAGGGTCTAAGTCACTTAAAAAAGTCACTTAAAAGTCATGAAGATATCAATAAACACAATTTAATTAATATAATGATAATAATATTAGAACACCCCTTTCATGAACACATACAGGGTAAGTAAAGAAAAATAATAATGCTTTGTCTGTCATTCAGGACATCAAGAGGTCCATCAGGTCTAGATGAAAATGGAATTCCTCTTTTCAAAACTCAAGGTATATTTATGTGTTATACATTGCTTTTTGCAATGTGGGCTGCTCAACAGAAGCATCTAGAATGCATCCAAGACCCCCTCTGGCATGGCCATGTACTGGGTTGTATAAACCTCCATTCTCAATGGCATTGCTATCCCCTTTTATAAGGGTATAAGAGATACGGTGGCATTACCTATGGTAAATAAATTTTGATTTTTATCCTAATTGTTAAATATTACTAATTATGTTATTAAAATTACAAAAATTACATCAAATTCGCATGCAAGAATAAGGCAGCTTAAAAAATATACTGTTGACTTTGTTTATCAGTCACCACACATGCTTGTGTACCAAACATCATTGAAAATGCCAGGAATGCATGTCTCCCAGAATCCAGAACACTTTGCAAAAGATGACTGTGTAATGGAAAGGGTAAGAGAAAACATGCCATCTCAGATTAAGTTGCATCAATGGAAGAGAGTAGCAGTGGAAGATAAAGGCAAAAATAATAATAATAATAATAATAATAAAATAAAATAAATAAATACATAAATAAAAATGTTGTCATCAAAATTGTAGAAAACACATTCCTCCAATTATTTCAGGCCTACATTCCTCCAATTATTTCAGACACGTTAGATGATTTCCGTGGACACGTACTCCATGTTGCAATGCAGTATGAAGAAATCCAGTTGGGTTTGGAGCACAGTAGCATTATCATGGTCTCAGATGAATTCCCACACTAATCTTCCATAGTTTTAGCCTTTATTGATGATGTTATGTTGCAGTTGAAAGCCAAAGTCCCCAACCTATCAACCATGCACTTACTGGACAGACAGTCCTACAAGCTAATATTGCAACAAGTAAGTTATTGATTTTGTTGCAAACCGCGAGCAAATACATTGCGTAAAGGCCCTTGGGAACTTTTTTATTGAGTCATGGCAAAAGCCCATGTGAAGGACTGGGGGACACAAGCAAATGTCTCACTGTCGAGACCATGAAGGTGTGTGTTAATTCAAGATGCATGGGATTTTGACAATTGGGCAGTGACATCTAACATGCATGTTAGTTTCCTTTATGTTAGCAGTGACCAATGTGATGAAAATTCAAGAGAGCTAGAACAGATAAAACTCAAACCCATAAAGAGTACCATGAGAATCCATTCCATGGCGAGTTTGGGAGGGTCAAAGATCAAAGTAGGGGACACTAGCTGTTACTTTAAGGACTGTTTGACAGATAACTCATGCGACAACTTGGGGTTGTCAACTGTAAGAGGCCAAAATTGGAACAGCAGCCACAATGTTCTTTGTGTGGTGTCCAAATGCAGGAACACCAGAGGTACAGGAAGAAGTCTTAGTGATCTCCTGCAAAGTGGTCCCCAGCTAGAACGGGAGCCCAGGCTGCCAGAGAGACTGCTCTTTTGCAGTCTTGGGCTCCAGTGTGCAGTCTCCTTGAGCAGGCAGACTGCAAAGGGGGCTGCAATTTTCACAGGGGACTACAAACGAAACTGAAATAACGGATATTTTCAACATTGGGCCAATGTATGCAATTTGTCTTTTGATTTTGTATTTTCCAATAATATACTGATGCACCAGGATCCATAAATTATGATATTTTAGGCACAAAGAAAAACTGCAGAACCTAACATGGAGAGGTGTTTGCCATGTGCAGGAAAGATTATAGTAAGGCTTTGGCAATTATTGAACTGGTCCTCAAGTCTACCAGCCAGTAGTGCGGAGAATGAGAGGGCATTCAACAGAATGAAGCTGATCAAAACAGCCCACAGGTCAAACTTATCCACCAGCTCGCTGGACAATTTGATGACAGTACATCTGTTATCCAAACCTATAAGGCAGTTCAATCCTGATGCAGCAATTGATGATTGGTTTTCTGCAACCAGCAGGCATCCTACATTCAGGAATGGCTTAACTAAGAAAAGCAGAAAATTGCAGGCCATTGCTACCTCTAGTACCAGTCAGGAACATGAAATTGATGCAGTTATAGAGAATGAAGAAGAAAATATTATTAATCCCAATGAATTGGATGATGAAGATGATGATGATGATGATGAAGGTTTTGGGGATGATGATGATGAGATGATGGATGAGGACAAAATTACGAAAAGCTAAAGGAACTAACTGGGGTTTAGTTTTTTTTTTAATGTGAATAAACCTTGATGAATTTTAGAGAATTGGGTTGATTTCAATTATTTTAAATAGTTTCAAAATAAAGACATGAAAATTTAACTTTATTTGCTTTATTTTACTGGTGCATTTTAATAATAATTTTAAAAAAATGAAATTGCCAAGTATGCTTAAACCATCCACCCCTTTTTGATTCTTTTATAATTGGGCCAGTGCCCCAAGGCCTGGGACCACTACCTCCAGAGTCAACTGGTCCAAGTGGACCAGTGCTGAAAAATTCCCATTTCCCTCCCTGCATATAGATTTCAGGAGAAGCTGCAGCAGGGAAAACTAGTCTGGGAGCAAGTCTTTGATGTTTTTAAAGATGATTTTCCCAATATATGCAGATTGTTGGATCTTCTTGGCAGTTTGCCTGCTACAAGTGTACCATGTGAAGTATCCTTTAGCCACTTAAAGCTGGTTAAAACAGAAAGGAGATATAGATTACTTCCCCAAACCCTTAACGATATTCTAACCATTAAATTGGAAGGACCAGCTGTTGATAAATTTGACCCAATGAGAGCAATGAAAATGTGGTGGGTAAGTAAACAAGCAGTTTAAATTATAACTCCTCTTTCAGACTGAATAGTTTTAAATAAAAATCCTGCAACATGAAACCCAGTAAAAAAGTTCATTATGTATTTAGGTTTTCATTGACAGCTTCTTTATTATGGCAAATTTCTTTTATGATTAAGACTCCTGGCAAGAGAGCAGAGTATAAATTTAAAAGCAGGAGACTGGCGTCTCTAAACAGCTGCAACAGTTAGCGGGGAAGCTGTCATGGGCGTGCGCTATCATTCGAGGGGGTAGGGCTTACCTCCAGTGGATTTTAGACACATTAAGACCAATTAAGCAAGCAAAGCATAAAGCAAGATTAGATGAACAATTTCAAGGGGATATGGATTAGTGGACACAGTGCATATACAGTTTTTAATTGTGAAGAGCTAATCATACCGCACAGAGAAACTGTCCACATGTACACTGATGCCTCAACCATAGGGGCTGGCATGGTCTGCGAAAATTATTGGGCTTATCTAGATTGGGACAGATGCCCACTTCGCCAGGGATTTTCACATTAACAGGAAGGAAACCAAAGCAGTGAGTGCTGCTATATTCAGATGGGCACCTACTTGGATTAACAAATTGTCATCATTAATACCGACAACATGACTACTAGTATGGAACACCATTCACACAAAAAATCAGACTTGCAAATTAATAGCCAAATGACATTCTAACAGCCTACAAACAATCTAAGTGATAAAAAATCTAATAGCCAACTCATAAAATTTTACAGTGATAAAAAATCTTACAGCCAACTTCTCTAATGCTAGAGGTCACTGCTGTCACGGGTCTATCCATGGACGGTGCGTAAAGTGATGACATCATAGCACAACACATAGAGGTCACTGCTGTCGGTCTTAGGGTTTATGTCGTAAATTGTGACCTACTTTTACAGGAACACTTTACGGTAATCCGACCTTGGCACTTTGGCAGCATGTATGACGCTGACATTAAAAACGTGACTGGGAGGCAGCTGTCAAGGGCCAATGTAACTCTGGCAGCGTGTAGCCAGTAGTGACGACAGGCCTACTCCTACTACAACTACCATTGCTACTGACATATCCACATCCAGTTCCAGTCGGTCAAGTGACAGTGCAAGTGTAATTGCCAAACACAGAGCTCTTTTTGGAAGTTCTCATCGAGTAGAGCAGAATCAAAGTCAAACTCGAAGACGTAGTCAGAGTCAGACTCGAACTCAGGAGGGGGTAAGGCAATTTCTATCAATCTATCATGTCTGCTGACTTAAAAAACTTTTCTCTATGAAGAATAATAGTGTTGTCAGTTTAGAGCCATTGACCATCGTTACCCGGTACTTTGTAGCCTACATTCCACAGTGCTAGTAATATTTAATTGTTCATTAAAATGCTTAAATATTAACGTTAAATGAGTATAACAAAACTTAGCAGCAAAGTACTCTTTTAGATAAAAGTTTATTTTTTATTTTTAATTAAGGGCACCTATTCCAGTCAATATTAAGGTGTTTTTTATATAATACACATTTTTCAATTTTAGCAATCCATCTATTGCTACTCTCAAATTCGGGCATACATACTTCACCAAATTCACGTGCAAGAATAAGGCAGAGATTTCAGCTAAAAAAATATACAGTTGACTTCCTTTATCAGTCGCCACACATACTTGTGTACCAAACATCAAAATGTTGCGCTTCTCGCTAGAGCATTGAAAGCGACAGGAATACATGTCCCCCAGAATCCAGAACACTTTACAAAAGAAGACCATGTAATGGAAAAGGTAAGAGAAAACATGCCATTTCAGATTAAATTGCATCAGTGGAAGAGAGTAGCAGTTGAAGATAAAGGCAAAAAAATATATCACCAAAATCGTTGAAAACACATACGACAAGACTGCATTCCTCCAGTTATTTCAGACACAGGTAGATGATTTCCGTGGACACGTATTGCGTGTTGTAACGCAGTATGAAGAAATCCAGTGTTTGAAAAATAACCTTCACCCAAACCATGTCATTGTGCAAATGGACTTTGCAGAATACTATACTTGCAAATCGCTAGAAGTGCAGAGCACATATTTCAATCAAACCACCATTACCCTTCACCTGATCACTATGTATCATATTGGAGAGTAGGGTTGGGAGCACAGTAACATTATCATAGTCTCAGATGAAATCCCACACTAATCTTCCAGGGTTATATCCTTTATTTATGATGTTATGCAGCACTTGAAAGCCATAGTCCCCAACCTATCAANATGGTCTGCGAAAATTATTGGGCTTATCTAGATTGGGACAGATGCCCACTTCGCCAGGGATTTTCACATTAACAGGAAGGAAACCAAAGCAGTGAGTGCTGCTATATTCAGATGGGCACCTACTTGGATTAACAAATTGTCATCATTAATACCGACAACATGACTACTAGTATGGAACACCATTCACACAAAAAATCAGACTTGCAAATTAATAGCCAAATGACATTCTAACAGCCTACAAACAATCTAAGTGATAAAAAATCTAATAGCCAACTCATAAAATTTTACAGTGATAAAAAATCTTACAGCCAACTTCTCTAATGCTAGAGGTCACTGCTGTCACGGGTCTATCCATGGACGGTGCGTAAAGTGATGACATCATAGCACAACACATAGAGGTCACTGCTGTCGGTCTTAGGGTTTATGTCGTAAATTGTGACCTACTTTTACAGGAACACTTTACGGTAATCCGACCTTGGCACTTTGGCAGCATGTATGACGCTGACATTAAAAACGTGACTGGGAGGCAGCTGTCAAGGGCCAATGTAACTCTGGCAGCGTGTAGCCAGTAGTGACGACAGGCCTACTCCTACTACAACTACCATTGCTACTGACATATCCACATCCAGTTCCAGTCGGTCAAGTGACAGTGCAAGTGTAATTGCCAAACACAGAGCTCTTTTTGGAAGTTCTCATCGAGTAGAGCAGAATCAAAGTCAAACTCGAAGACGTAGTCAGAGTCAGACTCGAACTCAGGAGGGGGTAAGGCAATTTTTATCAATCTATCATGTCTGCTGACTTAAAAACTTTTCTCTATGAAGAATAATAGTGTTGTCAGTTTAGAGCCATTGACCATCGTTACCCGGTACTTTGTAGCCTACATTCCACAGTGCTAGTAATATTTAATTGTTCATTAAAATGCTTAAATATTAACGTTAAATGAGTATAACAAAACCTAGCAGCAAAGTACTCTTTCAGATAAAAGTTTATTTTTTATTTTTAATTAAGGGCACCTATTCCAGTCAATATTAAGGTGTTTTTTATATAATACACATTTTTCAATTTTAGCAATCCATCTATTGCTACTCTCAAATTCGGGCATACATACTTCACCAAATTCACGTGCAAGAATAAGGCAGAGATTTCAGCTAAAAAAATATACAGTTGACTTCCTTTATCAGTCGCCACACATACTTGTGTACCAAACATCAAAATGTTGCGCTTCTCGCTAGAGCATTGAAAGCGACAGGAATACATGTCCCCCAGAATCCAGAACACTTTACAAAAGAAGACCATGTAATGGAAAAGGTAAGAGAAAACATGCCATTTCAGATTAAATTGCATCAGTGGAAGAGAGTAGCAGTTGAAGATAAAGGCAAAAAAATATATCACCAAAATCGTTGAAAACACATACGACAAGACTGCATTCCTCCAGTTATTTCAGACACAGGTAGATGATTTCCGTGGACACGTATTGCGTGTTGTAACGCAGTATGAAGAAATCCAGTGTTTGAAAAATAACCTTCACCCAAACCATGTCATTGTGCAAATGGACTTTGCAGAATACTATACTTGCAAATCGCTAGAAGTGCAGAGCACATATTTCAATCAAACCACCATTACCCTTCACCTGATCACTATGTATCATATTGGAGAGTAGGGTTGGGAGCACAGTAACATTATCATAGTCTCAGATGAAATCCCACACTAATCTTCCAGGGTTATATCCTTTATTTATGATGTTATGCAGCACTTGAAAGCCATAGTCCCCAACCTATCAACCATGCACTTACTGGACAGACAGTCCTACAAGCTAATATTGCAACAAGCAAGTTTTTGATTTTGTTGCAAACCATGAGCAAATACATAGCGTAAAGGCCTTTGGGAACTATTTTGAATCGAGTCATGGCAAAAACCCGTGTGAAGGACTGGGGGACACAAGCAAATGTCTCACCGTCGAGACCATGAGAAGCGGGCACATGTTAATTCAAGATGCATGGGATTTTGACAATTGGGCAGTGACATCTAACATGCATGTTAGTTTCCTTTATGTTAGCAGTGACCAATGTGATGAAAATTCAAGAGAGCTAGAACAGATAAAACTCAAACCCATAAAGAGTACCATGAGAATCCATTCCATGGCGAGTTTGGGAGGGTCAAAGATCAAAGTAGGGGACACTAGCTGTTACTTTAAGGACTGTTTGACAGATAACTCATGCGACAACTTGGGGTTGTCAACTGTAAGAGGCCAAAATTGGAACAGCAGCCACAATGTTCTTTGTGTGGTGTCCAAATGCAGGAACACCAGAGGTACAGGAAGAAGTCTTGGTGATCTGCTGCAAAGTGGTCCCCAGCTAGAACGGGAGCCCAGGCTGCCAGAGAGACTGCTCTTTTGCAGTCTTGGGCTCCAGTGTGCAGTCTCCTTTAACAGGCAGACTGCAAAGGGGGCTGCAATTTTCACAGGGGACTACAAACGAAACTGAAATAACGGACATCTTCAACATTGGGCCAATGTATGCAATAAACAACCCTATAGTTATTTAAAAAGTGTTTCTCTTCACAACTGAGAAGCACATGTGCTAATCTTGACCTCAATCTTTTGATCAGTAACTTATAGTTATCAGGCTTAAAAGAAAACTTTTACTAAGAGCTTGTCAAAATTACTTTAAAATTGTTTGCGTTAAAAGCAATTTTCGGCTTTATTATCACAGTTATTTAGCATGATTTATTTCCTGATTATTTGACATTTATATTTAAAAAAAAAAAAAAAAAAAAGAAACACTGCAGCCAGTGGGCCATTTGATTACAGCTGAATCTTCCTTCCTGTATATATCTTTAATTAACCTTCACCTTGACAATGGACAGCATATCTTGTGACTTATCTGATATAATATCCCAGTGAAACTTTCTTTATTGTTGTGGATGAAACCAGTTTTAGAAAATAATTACTATGTCCTACCATACCTGTGTTTAATTGAGACTATGTAAATCTTTGTATATCTACCTCACCTTTGTTTAATGGAGACGGAAAATTACTATATAGCCACCTTCGTCTACGTTCTATGTTATACATCCTGCCTGTGTCTCTGTATTATGTAAATTGTCGAATTATCTATTAAATTAAGTAGATGCTGCTGAGTGACAGGTTACCTGACCAATAGTAACCAGGAATGTCCTCAGTCAGTCATCCCCCCTCCCAAGGGATTTAAAAATTAGCAATGTTGTGAAGAAGTCAGTACAGGGTTAGCACTGGAGCAGGAAGGTTGTCATCTATATTGTAAGGCTAAGGCTCCTATGTACACTTATGCTAACAGAAATAAACCTGTATTATAACTGAAGTCGTGAGTTTGTTGAGTGGAGACATATCAGATCCCCAGCATACGGTCGGAGGCCTTGCCCTGGACCATCATATTATCCTCCAAGCTATATACATTCATATATAATAAACATGTACTTCACCTATAAAAAATAACTTGCTCAATCCTGTCAAATAACTATACATAGCACAGTTTAAGCAGGCAGAACATATAACCGTTGAGCTGTTTCAAAAATCTTAGCCAGAAGCTAGGTTAGGAATGTTCTAAGGAAGAGGCAAGAAATTTGAAAACATTGATTTCTGGATTGAAAAAAATGACTTTTTTTTTTGAAAATTAGAAAGAAAAATAAAGAGATAAAGAGACAGGATAAGAAGTGAGCATGCATGTCTTTTGATTTTGTATTTTCCAATAATTTACTGATGCACCAGGATCCATAGAACCTTGAAAAGTGTTCAACTTTAGCCCAGCACTTTGAATTCTGTTTGTGGTTTTAAAAAGTACTTGAAATTGCTATTAGGCTAGAAAAAGGTTTGCATTTAACCAATTTGGTCCTTGTCAAAATATTATTTCAAACTTTGTTGTTTTTGACATGAACATAGACAATAATTCACAGATGGGGTTAATACCTTTTAAAACATCAATCTTTTTTTAGGAATGATTAAATAATGTACAGTAGGTTTCTCAATCTTCTGCTAATATGGGCTTTGCAGAAAATATACATATGTAAAATAATAAACCAAAGTAAATAGTATTCTTTATTAACTTTATTTAAAGAGAGTAAACATGTTAAGCGTAAGCTTATCTTCCACATGACCCTCTGTTACCAGTCATTCAACAATACTGGCTCCCTACTTCAACCTTTATATGCTGAATGCTAAGCAAGGAAACAGTAGGTACCATATTATGATGGCCTTAAGTATGACCCGGCCGGGGATTGAACCCACAACCTACTGCACCTGAGGCGAGCACTCTTCCATTTGAGCCATCTGGTCAGCATGGAGAGAAATAAACCAATATGTTAGATAAATGGATCAGATAACATACATTTTATGATTTAAGGAAAATTTTGTACTTAGATTTGAACTTACATACTTTGGAAAAGATTATTACCAGATTTCTTTTGATAAATGTAATTATTATTTGAATATATACATGTTTGAGTTGAAAAAAAAAAGAAAAGAAAGATTTTTGCCAAATTTTATTTTGCTAAGCAAACTGCTAGGGAGAATGAAGAGTAGACTGCCAGAGGGGCTGCAGAGCAGACTGCTGGAGGGGCTGTCAAGCAGACTGCTAGGGGGGCTGCCAAGCAGACTGCTGGGGGGACTGGCAGCCCTGGCAATGCATTCCAAAAATGCAAATTAAGACTGCTAAAGGGACTTTCTCCATACTTAAGGATACCTGCAAAAGAGACTGCCGTGGGAGTGCGGACTTCTAGGGAGACTGCAAAGCAGGCTCCATGGGGGACTGCAAAGGAAATGCTTTTGCAGCTGGGCCGGTCCACAGCGAAAGGTCTGCGGGGCAGGGAATTCAACAGCTGCGAGGAATTTACCAGGTAGGTGGATCTGTTGCTTAGTTAGTTTTGTAGTAATTTATTTGTCAGCTTTATTATATTAAATTTCTAATGAAGCAATACAAGAAAATTCACTGGTACTTTTTTGTGCACAGTAAATGACTTGTGGTAATGCTCTTTATTATGTACTGGTTCATCCCTCCCCCCCCCCTCTTCTAAACCTAGATGCATTCTCAACAGATTGCTTAACATGAGATTTTTGCTCTCTAAGGTATTTCTGTTGTTTCCTCTATTGCCACTGGAAAGCATGCATGTTTGAGGTCAATCGATGCCATATAGCAGTTTTGTTTCATCATTCTGTTAGCACTTAAAAGTGATTCCATTTTAAAATGTTTATATTCCACAAAGGTATTTAATTTACTGAAGTTCAAAATAGACAGCTTTAAGATGTACCACCACAAGAGAAATAGTGACATCGCTGGTGGGACAAGAAATGGCCTGTGATCAAAGAAAAATCAGGACGCTCTTATGACATTCATTTTTTCAGGACCCACGCTAATTTTTGATTGGAAATTTCAAGATCCCCCTCGATTTTTTGCTTAAACATTTCAACACCTCACACCTAGAAAATTTTAACCCCACCCCTTTTCCCCTTAAATAATTACTAATATAATTTGTCATATCACATGTCATATCACATGGTCCCACACATGGTTACACAGTTTCTTGTTTTAAGAAAATGGCATCGAACGCAATGCACAAATATTGTCAAAATATTTACAAAATTTGAAAAGGCAGCAAAAGAGTGTTCCTGCAAAATTATTACAGAGGGATGGCATTTTACAGTTTACACAGAACTAAGATTTTTGAGAAGTAAAGTCAAAGGTTCAACTGAGCAAACAAAGTCAAATATTGGCCAGTGTTCTGCTCTCTCTCTGTCCTGAAAGTGAACGGTCAGACTGTGCATGGTAGCAGACCCAGTCCTGAAATGTCAGCTGTATCTTGGATGACACTAGAGAAATTTCTGGAAAAATGGACAACCTACAGTTATTTCCACTGGTTTGAATATAAATTTCTATACTGTTTGGATATATGCGTGCGGCAACTTTTATTTATTCAAGACATGCTGAAAATTTCCGGATGCCAGCCCTTGACTCACCAATCTGGGAGTTGGGCGGACTATAATTTTGGACTCACCTAGTGAAACTTTCTTACGAAATATTTAATTTCTCAAACTCTGTAATTTCACCCGAAATAAAAAAAATAAAACAAGCCATTATCATCTTCACTCACTAAAAAACGATGGGGCAGCCATATTGAATAGAAACGCAGTATATAGTAGGCATGCAGCATTTACTATCTGTCAGCTGAATGGTCATAATTGAGGCACAGAAAACATGTGGTGTGCTATTTGTGTGAGGATGGAGGTTGCATGAAACTGTTATTTTTTTCCGTCTACAATTACTCATGGAATAAACCTTCAAAATGACCAGTTCAGTAGTGTTTTTGAACCCTTAAACATGCATTGTAATAAGTACTGGCGTATACTCCAGTTTCTGGTTGCTGCGGCCATGAATCTCTCGCTGTGAGAATCGGCGAGATCAGTTTGTTTGGGTAATAAAAGCACATGTGCGAGCATAGAAAATAATGGCATCGGCTGGAGGGTTAAATGTTTTATCGTTAAACGAGGATGAAATATATAAAATTGTGTCAATGTGGAGCGTAGAAGCATTGAAGAAATATCTTAGAAGATGAGAGCTTTCAACAGTAGGAAAAAAAGAAATGTTAGTGGCCAAGGTAAGTCCGTCGAAACACCTCTTATATTTGCTACTCAGGAAACTCAGTGCACTGAAATTTTAAGTAACTATCATTAATGAATTATGTGTGGTATTATTCCAACTTAGGTTAATATGTAAAACTGCTTAGCATAGAGTTACAGAACTCTGTATGTGAAATTTCAGAGTAAATTGTTTCTAATACCCTTTAATCCTAAAATTAGAATAATAAACTGCACATACCTACACTCCGCTATCAATCAGCTATGGTAAAGACCCAATGATTTTCAAGCTTTGATTTAAGTAATTACAGACTATATTATGTATTTAACATTTTCTTAATACAAGTACAGCTCTTTATTACAGTGAAATACTACATAGTCTCACAAATGGCTAGTATTTTTTAGGTTTATGCAGCTGCATTAGCCAATGTCCCAGTAACTAAATGTGCCACTGAAAGAGCTGAAGAAATTAGTAGGACATGTCAATCCTAGCTAGTGATGTAGATTGCTTCGGCCCTTTCCCAGTAAGAAGAGGAAGATCTGAGTTAAAACGTTATGGGTGTATCTTCACCTGCCTCACGACACGAGTGATACACATAGAAATACTTGAGAGTCTTGACACAGACTCCTTCCTCAATGGACTCAGAAGGTTCATAGCAAGACGAGGAGAGCCAAGGACGATCACCTCAAAATAAAGAATTGTCACGGGGATTAAAGGAGATGGATCAGAAAAAAATAACTGGAAACCTTCTGAAAAAAGGAATCATTTGGAAATTCAATCCACCATTGTCAAGCCACATGGGTGGCATATGGGAAAGACAAATTCAAAACATAAGAAAGACGTTGACCTCTCTAATGCGAGAGCAGACACTGACCGACGAAACCTTGCACACCTTGATGTGTGAAGTCGAGGCAATATTGAACAATAGACCCATCACTCCAGTCAGTGAAGATCCAAATGATCTAAATTAAGGCACTAAAACCCGCTCAACTACTCATGCTGAATGATGGACCTCTCCTGCTTCCATGTGTTACAGAACAGAAGGACATTTACAGAAGACGCTGTCGCCAGGTACAATGCTTGGCAGACACCTTTTGGCTACGATGGACCAAACAATATTTGCCGGAATTACAACGTCGAATGAAGTGGCACACAGCATCACCAAATCTGTCTGTAGGAGATTTGGTACTACTGGTGGAAGAAAATATGCCAAGGAATCTCTGGCCTTTGGGCAGAATAGTGCAAGTAAACCCAGGAGATGACGGACTTGTGCGTTCCGTCAAGTTAAAGACAAGATCAACAGTCTTAACAAGACCAGTAACCAAGATAGTAGTATTGGAAGGGAAGCTTTACTAGTTTTAAATTTATGACAAATTTAATGGCGGGATTGTAACATTTTTATAATGTTAGAGTAGTTCAATTTAGTCAGTTACCCTTAGCTACAAACGCAGGCTATCAAGTCCAGGTATCACATGTCCAGCAGCTGAGCTGGAGTGCTTACACCACTTTAAGTGCAAATGGTCATCAAAAGCTAATCAATCAATTGTCATAGATACGCGTTTTTGGGAGTAGAAGCAGTTCCACCCATTAGAGAAAAAATCCAACAATTTTACAAGTCAAAACAGATCATCTAAGTTTATCTTTATGAAAATCGAATAGGCAACGACACCAAGATACCAAGGTAACAATATTTTATATCTTAATGCAATTTAAAAGGTATATTTTAATGATAGAAAACTAACACCCTCAGTGCTTTGTTCTCTGAGCATGCCACATGGTTTAAACTGAACTTGCTTCTACAGATAAATTTTATGTACATTTCTACCTGATTTCCTTCTTATAAAGTGCACATGATTAACATCAAAGGTTATATAATTATTACTTGTCACAGCATTTTATAGAAAAGTTAGTAAAAAAGCAATTTAATTAGTTTATCAGGTTTTAAGTAGCATCATATTCATTTTCTTTTTAGATTGAAAGTTATTGTAAGTAGAATTAAATGTATGTTTGCTAAAGAACATATCTATTCTATAGGACAACTTAGAGAGATTACGTGCACAAGGGCAAAAGGGTCCAAAGTTGTGAGTGTTAAACTGTATTTACTGGTTTATTTAGATTAGCGACATGTTATTAATATTCCATTTTTTATGTTACAAATATTATATTAGAATTAATTTCTTATATTTTGATATATTTCTATGTCACTACATTCATGGTGTGTTAAATGATTCAATTTAATTAACTGAGTAGTGTCATGTTACAAGTTGAGTGTTATTGTTTACTTTGAGCCACTAGTAAGTATAGGCTGTGTGTACAAATTGTCACATATAATATTCTCCAGTCAGTCTGAGTACAGTCAAGACGTGTTAGTTCAAGACAATGTAACAAGGTCAGAAAATTGGTTAGACGTTTTATTTTTCTTTGATTTTTGTTTAATTATTTTATTATTTCAGATTCACGGTAATTTGGTATTGAAATACTTCGGTATTCTGGTACTACCTATCAGTGAATAAAGGTTCCATCATCTAGTTACATCATCTAGTTACGTCATCATTTCGACAAATGCACGCAAACTCTACAAGTGATAGAGGATTCCAGACCCATTCATGGTGGATTCTTGGACAGGAGAACCAAAGAGCATCGGGTCATGGCCTCCCATCACAATCTATGACATTTCTGAATTTTTAAAAGAACATGATGTAGCTATATCAAATGCCAGTTTAAGAAAACGTCTGTTGAGGGACTATAAAGAGCAGAAAGCTTACTCATATTTTGCCTCCAAATGAAACATTTCAATGTCCCAAATTCTACTATTATATTATTAAGAGCAAATATCACTCTCTCTCAAAGGCTAAATGACCCACCACACCAGGCCTGGATTGCAAGCAGCAAGGATGGCAAAATATTGAGGGCCTATTGTACAGGAGTGTAATTATGTGGCTGCCATTTTGTTTAAAGTAGAGTATGGGTGGAGATCTGGGCTATGCCAGACAGCTTGTACATCCAAAGAATGTGTTTGACGAGCACCAAAGCAGTCAAAGGCCATCTTGACCCCAAAAAGAATACAAGATATGGCTTGGAAGTCTTCCTCTATGGCAAATAAAGGTATTGGCCATTGGTCAACTTATTAAATTCCCTTTGTGCTAACAGACAACAATGTGCCCTTACAAGAAGTGCCGAGGCAAAAGACTTTAAGCCGTGTCTAACACTGTTATCAATGAGAGACTGAAAGTGGAAGAGACAGCAATTGAAGAGGCACAAAGGCAGCTTAGGACCACTGGGTCTGCTAATTCTAGCAGGATAGACCATTACTTGGGATGGCTTGTCCTTCCTTTTGGGAAATATTTTAATATTTTGTAAAGGTAAGAATTAGTGGACTTCATGTATATCTTTATTTTCATATTTACATTTAGAACAACTATGTCCT